TTGGCTCAAGGTGAAGGTATTCTGTATGGCAGCCGTCTCATCAATACGCCACGAAGGCCACACTCCAACCCTTCAGTAGCAGATACCAACTACCCCCTCTCGTTTCGTTTATTTCTTCATCTTCCCTTCCTCCTACTGACCCATCCATTCAACCAAACTGCTCTTCTCCTTGCCCACTATTTATTCTGCAACCATGTCCCCTTGGCTCTGTGTGTTTGTGTGTGTGTGTATGTGTGTGTGTACTGATGTCAGTGGACAGACGGAGCTGAGCAGGTCTGGGAAAAGAGTGGGCCGGCACAACAGGTGTCGGAAGGACCAGATGCTGGGCTTCCATCGGCCCATTCGTCCGTCTCGCGTGCGTGGGCTGACAGTCGGTCGAACGGCCTCCCTTGGCCTCGGACGAGTGGGGCTATGGAAACCGTCATGTGATGCAGAAAGAGAGATAACCACCCACAGGAGGCAGGCACGAGCACAGGCCGAGTCGTCCGCACATTAGAATAATTCTTTTCACTCCCGTCCCACTCACTCCACCCCACTGCATCCCACCCCAAAGTGTGATTATGCTTATGTGTGCCTGGGGTGGAGCTTTGGCCGCGAAGTGCAATCGTGAGTGTGCATACACTGCTGTTTGGGTGTGTGTAGATTTGGGTATGTATCGGTTTGGATGTGTGTAGATTTGGGTGTGTGTAGATTTGGGTGTGTATCGGTTGGGGTGTGTGCATTCTTTAGGGCTACTGTCAGGCTTGCAAAGTCGTTATGCGTGAGAAATTAAGCATCATTGTTTCATTGCCTATCACAGCCAGATGTGTGATCGTTTGTTTGCCAACTGTTCACTCAAGTGTGAATGCGCATCGATTATGCCACAGTCATGAGGCGAATTGATGTGATGAAGACACGCACATCACACAGGACCTATCGGCATGTGAACACACGAGTAGACAGACCGTTGGTAGACGTGGTGGCGGTCACTCGAGCTCGGTGCCGCCGCAAAGTGGCCTTCTGACGTGGATACGGGCATTCACAAACACCGGCTCCAATGGATGCCGTTCTACTTTTCTAGTCGTCGACTCTGCTCGTACCTACGCGCCCGTCAGTCAATCGCCATAACAACCGTGTCGGGCCGTCTCGGAGGTTTGCGACCAAGAGAATTCGAAAAGGTGGAGTTGAAGAATCAAAGATTTGTAGGAGCCAGAGACTACAAAATTATATTTATGAAGAGAAGAATCCTTTAATAGAATGATACAAGTGGGATGGTAGTATTGAGAAACGGGATGAAGATTGTCGAATTCCCTGTTTTGTCCTAAATGAGGGTTTATTCTTATTCTATTTTCCATCTCTTGATCACGATGAGCTATAGTTACTATATGCGAACTCCATATTATCATTGGTTTCATAACCCCTACCTTCACACCATAAGTATGAAAAAAATCACATATAATTTTTATGGTTTATTTTATTGCTTTACAATGATTCCCCAATCCTCAATCTAAATGTGACTTATCTTGTTATTAGGGCTCTTGAAATTGTATGAAATATCTCCTTGATCTCTCCACTTCACGAGAAACTGTGCTGAAAAAGTGTGATTAGGGGGTGGAGCATTGGCCGCGAAGTGCAATCGCGAGTGTGCATCCATTGCTGTTGGGGTGCGTGTAGATTTGGGTATGTATCGGTTTGGGTGTGTGCATTCTTTAGGGCTACTGTCAGGTTTCCAAAGTCGTTACGCTTGAGAAATTAAGCATCATTGTTTCATTGCCTATCACAGCCAGATGTGTGATCGTTTGTTTGCCAACTGTATTTTATAGTATTTGGAAAGTGTTGACAATTAATCCTAACGGACAATTGTTCTTAACTAAGATTTTTCTTAGTCTTTCCATCTCTTGATCATGATTAGCCAAGTTACTATATGCGAACTCCATATTATAATTGCTTTCATAACCCCTACCTTCATACAATAAGTATGAGTAAAGAAGAAAATCATAAGGATAATGGAATGAATAAATAAATAAATAAATAAATAAATAAATAAATAAATAAATAAATAAATAAATAAATAAATAAATAAACAAAAAAATAAATAAATAAATAAATAAATAAATGGCACTTTGTCGGCAGATTAGTCTTTTAAGAACTGTTAACCCAAATGTAACTGTTGAACCATGGACACCACACAAGTATTCATTGAATTAAATTGTTAAATCTGAATAGCGTCTATCTTTTTAACACTGCTTTTATCCCCA